TCTGATACGTGGTTGAATACATACTTGTACAGTTCTAATTGTTACTATATTTGCTTTTAAATATTAAATTATTTTAATGTGTCAGGGAACAATATTTTAGTTTATTTCATGAATTAACGATTTTTTTGTCTAGCTTACAGTCTCCATGTTTTAGAGTTTAGTTATGTAGTTTGGCTACTAATTTTCACTTCATTGGGACGTAAGTGGGAAAAAACAAAGATGCTTAACAAACTATATATGAAGCTAGCATATATGAGTAATATATGCCATTCATATATGAATAACCCTTTCTGTCATATATTGTTAAATATGTGTTACTCATATAAGTTTGAATATGTTGATATACGGCAAAAATATACGACCATTTTTGAAAATGGCATAGTTGCCATATATGTCACACATGTGACAAATATGTTAGGATATATAAGGGAAATCTTTATATGCTAATATATGCCATATTCTTATAATCCATATACTGCCATATGTCAGATTTCCGTATGAGCTCCCTGCTAGAAAAAACAGCATTGGTCATTAGCAAAACCAGTGTTGTTGTTTTGGATACTACTATGCTAGTCAACTAGCATGACCACACTGGGCGACCAGCTAAAACAGCACCAGACCAGTATAAACCAGCATAAACCAGCTTAGCAGCAGAATTTTTTGCTGGGCTGTACTTCTTCAGAATAAAAGCATTAGGTTAGGGTTATAAAGAGGGTTAGCTAGCTAACCTACACTTTATGTAATTTGTGGCCCAAATTTATGTAAAGTTTATGTAATTATGTAACCTTCTCTGAAACAGTTTATTGCACTGCAAAAATGATCTATTAGCAAGTCATCTTAAAACTAGTACCTAATATTTCTCATTTTAAGATTGTTGTAAGAATATAATATGATTATTTAACATATATTAGGCATTTTTACTTGTTTGAAGTCATTTTATGTGGTAAAATTCAAGCTGAAACTAGCAAAATTATGTGTAAACAAAATCTGTCTCGAGAAAAAAGTACATAAAAAGGTAGGCTAGCTACTTAGCTAGCTAACCTACATTTTATGTAATTTGTGGCCCAAATTTATGTAAAGTTTATGTAATTGTGTAACCTTCTCTGAAACAGGTTATTTGCGCTAGCAAACCTTTACCTAATGGTAATGTGAAGTACCTAATTTTAGCTAGCTAGCTAATTAACTAACTTTCGCCTGAGGCTTGGTCTGCGGGATTCACTCTGGTGAAACAAAGTGTTGGTCTGATTTAAGGCTACGCTAAATGACTGTTTGCCGGAAAACAACACACATTTTTTTTGTTCTTAGCGGTTCCTTCAAAACACGGTTCCTACGTTTCTGATTTCAAGGCCTTGTGAGTTTTCACACAAGTACTTTTTTCGTGTGCTTAGCATTTAAAACGTTAATATTACGTTAATATATATATTTATAAAGAATATGTACAAATCACACTCGTTGTGTTGAATTTCTGAACACAGAACAGGGTCACTGTCGAAAGAGTGTCAGTAGAAACGTCAGAACGGAAGTACTTGTGCAGAAGATTGTATGGCAGACAGACCTTTGCGTATTGTTTGGGTAAGTTTTGGCGTTTTTTACCTGCTGAAAAAAATCATAGAACCCATTAAAGTTTCTGGTGGTGTCCAACATTCAGTAATGGTGTTCTGTGTTTTCCTGTTGGGTGGACATCACAGCATAAAGGACTCTTAACAGGTGTCCAGATGCATTTTTCTACTGGGTTCATAAGGTGTCCTACAGGAAAGCAGTGCTCTCTAGAAAGCAAAAGCATCAGGTTTTAATCTTTTTTAGTCTTTTTTTCAGCAGGGTTGTGCAATTTGTGTTGCTAAAGTAAGATAAAGAGCTAGAATAACCTCACACAGGCTTCCCTGGCTCACAGAACACAACAGCAAAATAACTTGATCACACTCTAACTCAAACTGTGCGCTTCCATTTGTACAGCACTGCTGCTTCCAAAGCACTACTTTGTTATCAGTGTGGCCTTTTATACCGGTAACACAGAGCCTGGAGCGCAGTTATCGAGCCTCACCAACGACGACGGAAGCTCAGAGCTTTCGAGTATATGGGTCATTCTCCATTTGGAGGGGCAAACCATGTCACAGGTTGCAGGACTTAAAAAGATGCTTAAACTATAAGGCACAGCTCCAAAAGCTGGTTTGTACCTTTGCACAGTTGACCTAAGATTAAATAACACTTTTCCCTTTCGATTTGTCTGATTTTTCTTTTTTTATCCTGTTTCATAGTCGCTCTGCATCGGTAAAACAGCTCGTCACAAAAACAATTTTCAAACCATTTTTAATATAAAACAATATTCTTAAGAGGTTTAACTTAGGAATTTGAATAAAAGAGTTCCATGTTTACTTTTTATATCATTAACATTATACTACATTTTAAAAATATGTATTTTATTTAAAATTTTGGTCACTAGTGTCATCAGGACTCTTATATTACATTTTAACAGTATTTTCAGCTCTATTAAACTGCTTCTTTGGGTCAAGGCTGACCAGAGAGGAAGCATTTCAAGGCAGGACTTGATCACTATATTTCATTAATATATTAATAATTTTGTTTATCAGGCAGCTCATAACTTCTATGTGTCACCGGTGTTACTTTAATGGCTGGGTAATTAAAATTTTGTCAAAATAATGCCATAAATATCATTTTTATTACACTATTTAAATAGTTGCACAAGGTTACCTGATCAGCCAATGAGTCAGCCAATTTACAAAATCCTCAGTTTTAACCAGAAAGTCACTGGTGTTACACTACATTCATACAACACCAGTGACTGTAAAATATGTTTGGAATTAAGCTCTCCTTTCTGCATATATGATAATAGAAGATGTTAATAGCTATATTAAGATTATTTAGTTTTGGGATGAAAGAAATGTATTTTTAAAAATGTGTCCAAATGGAGAATGACCCAAATATTTTGTTGCTTGCTGTGAGCTACGCGCAATTACTACACTACTACGGTGATTAGCTTACAGTGGTACTTGTACAACTTTCTTAGTTTTATCATGGTATGCTACTGCATTTGTTGGTTGAAAGAACAGCATAAAAAGGGCTGAAAGGATAGTTTTATTTATTTAGTAGGTCTGGTAGGAAAAACCAAGGAAACCCTGTTTAAACTCCAGTGTTGATGCAGTATCTTCATTTGTACGCTGCAAAAATTATAGTGAAAACATCTCATATGTAGCCAATATAGCCAAGATTTTTCATTATGAGATCCTTATAAGGATATTAAAAGATTATTCAACCTGTTTTTGTACATTTGTACTTGTTCTAAGTAGCTGTATCTTTTGAAAGTGTGTTTTTCTTTGTTTTACTTGTTTCGAGAAATAATGCTGATAATAAGTGAAACAGGTAAAAGTATCTGCCAATGGAATAAGACCCTTTTATATTGACAACATTACTTCAAACAATTTTAAAATGTCTAGAAATAAGGTGTAATTTTCTGACAATGGTCTCATAATGAGAAATAGTAGATAAATTGGCTAGATTTGAGATGTTTCCACTGCTGTCATTGTAGCAGTGTAGTTCCACCTTATGGGAAAGCCTGATTCACAACAGGACACTATGTTATGTATGTCATCTAACTCTAATAAGTTATTATCTAATAAGTTACTCTGTGCTGGTTTGAATGTTGCAGTGCCACATTGAACACCACTGTGCTATGCTGTGAGGAAGCCTATGGGAGGTATATCTTACTTTAGAAACACACATTTCAGCGCCAACATTGTTGAAACGCTGCAAAAAGACAGACTTTTGGAGGGAACCGCAGGAATTTGGACCAGCTGGTACCACTTTAGAATAAGACTACCCTTAAAAAGCGTTTATGAATGGTTTCAAATTAATTTATTAATGGTTATCAGGTCAAACATCACTAACAAGCAGTGATAACACACTAACAAAAAGGGCAAAGTGAGCTGTTTTATCATATGAGTATGTGACGAAGCTGACAGGTTCAATGCTGACTGATGGAGAAGACAAATTAAGATCAAAGATCAGTAAACATCAAAAACGGAGCTTTAACAGTGTAAATGAATGTGGATTCACTACTAGGCAAACAACAGGCCACTGTTGCCCTTTTTATTTATATGTTGTAACTGCTTATTGATGATTTTAAGGTCTTTATTACCTAATTAATAACCATTAATGAAATTTAAAACCATTCAAGAATTCTTTATAAGGGTAGTCTTGCTTTAAACTGGTACCGACCAGTTTGTATCTCCAAAGAAGACAGTCAAGGATACTCAACATGGCCATCCGTTCTGCAGTCTGTTGTCCGTATTTATTCTGTTCCTCAATCTTCTAAAGGAATAGTTCTGCAAAAGTCTAATTTACATCATTTTCCCTCTTATCTCAGATCAGTCAAGACGTGTTTATGATTTCTTTCTCTTTTTTTGCTTTATTTCTTCTGAGACAGCCTTAATAAAGACATTTTTCCTTTGGGTGCCTGTAGCATTCAGCTATATGGTGAAATTTTGTTACATTTTCACACTGTGCTCTAAACCAGTGTTCCTTAACCACTGGGCCAAGGACCACAAGTGGGCCGCGAAGCACCCTTGGTGGTCCTTCGGCCTATACTGAGGGGGGCCAGTGGTCTATAGTGGGCCTGTGATGGCACTTTGTCATAAAAATCAGTGAAAAAATAATCGGAAAGAAATAAAATAAAAAAGAAATATAAAATGTTTTACAGTTAACAACATTAATACATTAAGCCCTACAATAACAGCGCACAAAGGCAGCTTTGTCAGTTTCTTTGCCCTTTGCCTCAAGAAACACCTGACCTTTCAGTTGTCCACTCGCACCAATATTCTGCTGATATTTCATGTTCGCTGATACACGTCATGTATTGCAAGAGTAGGCCTCCACATATCACTGTGCTGAAAATGTCTCAAAAATTATATTTTTAAGCAAAAACATTCAGTTTTGTTTTTCTTATGGGCTTTCATACTTCCTAGCGGTGGGCTTAGAGATGGAAAAGGTTGAGAACCCCTGCTGACACATCTTAATGAAGACCTTGATGCAGTTTGAGTGAGTTGAGGGACGTTTTAGGGATGTTTTTACAGAAAACATTTCGGTGACTATTGACTTCTAGCGTTTGTTAGAAACATTAGCCTTGTAACTCCAATCCAAATAGCAAAATCTGAACCATAAACATGTCTCAGCTCATCGAGTATATCTGGGGTAAGTGGGAAATTGTGAACAATTTGATCTTTTTGCCAGTCTAGTTCTTTAAAAGCTGTAGCCCAGCATGTAATAAAATCAGTTTCAGGAAAAATCAAAAAACTTTTAAAAGCTAACACTGATCATAGGAGTATTCACAAAGGAAATGTTCAAGACGGGGAAAGGCCGAGCGTTAAAACGTAAGGGATTAAAGTGGATTCCTTTGCAACGCTGTTCACATCTTCCAGCATTCTTCTAGTTCAGTAGCATTTCAAAACAGCATCAGTCTTTATAACGGTTCAGATGACCTCAGCTCCTCTACCTGTGACTCCAGATCAGTAACCTAAGAACAGAGAAGGATTTGGTCAGATCTTGACAGCTTTGACGATATTGAACAGTCATATGACCGCTTAGCGTTAAAGGCCCATATCCTACGTTTTTCTTGTATTTTATTGTTTGCCTTGAGGTCCACTTATGATGTTTATGTTGGTTTATGTACCAAAAACAATCATAATTCAGATTAAACAGACTTTAATTCAGATATATGCAAATTTCATAGGCCCGGTTTTGTGCCTCATTCGAAATGCAGCTCAGGCCAAAACACTCCTTACAACTTCAGTGTGAATGGGCGGAGCTAAGATGCTCGGGGATGTAAAGTGTTTTTGCAGGTTAGTTTTCATATATAGATACACCGATCAGACATAACATTATGACCACCTCCTTGTTTCTACACTCATTGTCCATTTTATCAGCTCCACTTACTATATAGGTGCACTTTGTAGTTCTACAGTTACAGACTGTAGTCCATCTGTTTCTCTGTATACTTTGTTCGCCCCCTTTTACCCTGTTCTTCAGTGGTCAGGACCCCCATGGACCCCCACAGAGCAGGAACTATTTGGGTGGTGGATCATTCTCAGCACTGCAGTAACACTGATGTGGTGGTGGTGTGTTAGTGTGTGTTGTGCTGGTCTGAGTGGATCAGACACAGCAGTGCTGCTGGAGTTTTTAAACACTGTGTCCACTCACTGTCCACTCTATTAGACACTCCTACCTTGTCAGTCCACCCTGTAGATGTAAAGTTAAAACGATAGCTCATCTGCTGCTGCACAGTTTGTGTTGGTCATCCTCTAGTCCTTCATCAGTGGTCACAGGACGCTGTTGGCTGGATATTTTTGGTTGGTAGACTATTCTCAGTCCAGCAGTGACGCTGAGGTGTTTAAAAACTCCAGCAGCACTGCTGTGTCTGATCCACTCAGACCAGCACAAGACACACTAACACACCACCACCACATCAGTGTTACTGCAGTGCTGAGAATGATCCACCACCCAAATAGTTCCTGCTCTGTGGGGGTCCATGGGGGTCCTGACCACTGAAGAACAGGGTAAAAGGGGGCGAACAAAGTATACAGAGAAACAGATGGACTACAGTCTGTAACTGTAGAACTACAAAGTGCACCTATATAGTAAGTGGAGCTGATAAAATGGACAATGAGCATAAAAACAAGGAGGTGGTTATAATGTTATGCCTGATCGGTGTATGTGAACAGGATAATGAACTGTACATCGTGAAACTTTAGTGTTTACATGCTACAGCACTCAAAAAAAATGCTTTTCCTATGATATACTGTTGCTTTTTCTTAGTGACACTGTGACAAATGCGTCCTTGTGTGAAGCTTTAATTGCTTCTGCACAGGTTGTTTTCTGCTGGCAAACATCAAACTGATAGATGTGCTTACTCTTGGTTATTACAACCAGTCACAAACAATATCACTCTTTAAGAAAGCTATGCACCATAAATTATATGACAGGTAAAAAGTATGTTACTTAAAGGGCCCATATCATGGAAAACTGAATTTCCCTTGCTTTAAAGTAATATGCAAACACTGTTAAAGTTTCAACACCTACCATTCACCACCTGGTCCGTACCGTCCACATATGGAAACTATGCTGCAAAAATAGTCTGTTTTGAGATCATTGTTGATGTGATGTCTGAAAAAAGTAACACTTTTAACATGTAGCCACCTAATCTGCCTACAGCAGGGTCCGCCCATTCATACTCAGTGTTTCAGTGCTATCCAGTGTCGACCAGAGCAGGATGGGTTCCCCTTTTGAGTCTTGGTTCTTCTCAAGGTTTGTTCCTCTTGCTCTTAGGGAGTTTTTCCTTGCCACTGTCGCCACTGGCGGCGCTCATGGGGGCTCGGACCTAGATTTTCTGTAAAGCTGCTTTGTGACGACACCTGTCGTAAAAAGTGCTATATAAATTAACTTTGACTTGACTTTCAGTTCTTTTAGAGATTAGTTTCATAGTTCTTTCACACACACACACACACACATACATATTTCACACATAGACATACACGCACATATATTCTGTGAAGTGATGAATCGTGCTTCTCTATCTGTCAGTCTGATGGACGAGTCTGGGTTTGGCGAATGCCAGGAGAACATTACCTGCCTGACTGCATTGTGCCAACTATAAAGTTTGGTGGAGGAGGGATAATGATATGGGGTTGTTTTTCAGGGGTTGGTCTAGAACCCTTAGCTCCACTGAAGGGAAATCTTAATGCTTCAGCAGACCAAGACATTTTGGATAATTATATGCTTTCAACTCTGTGTGAACAGTTTGGGGAAGAACCTTTTCTGTTCCAGCATGACTGAGCCCCAGTGCACAAAGCAAGGTTCATAAAGGCCTGGCTGGGTGAGTTGTGGAAGAACTTGACTGGCCCTCACAGAGCCCTGACCTCAACCCTATCAAACACCTTTGGGATAAAGTAGAACAGAGATTGCGAGCCAGGCCCTCTCGCCCAACATCATGTACAATGAATTATGATTGGTATGTGAAACCACACAAACATCATAAGTGGACCTCAAGGGAAAAAATTAAAATACAAGAAAAATGTAGGATATGGGCCCTTTAAATTGGCAAGGAACTAACTGGATTAAACTGAATGTTGTATCTTTCAAGATTGTAATACTGTAAGAAATATATCACTTATATGGAATGAAGTCCAGAACAATGGACTGAGTCCAGACCTCAACATCACTGAATATGGATTACTTGACAGATGAGAGGCAGAAAATGCTAAACCAACTTATAAGACTGAACTTTGGAGGTGTGGCTGCAGATGTTTTTGAAAAAACTGAAAGTGACTCTCCTGAAAAGAAGAGAAGCTGTAATAACACATTAAATACTGGAAAATGTTCTTTTTGAAGCTTTTGTTTAATTTCCTGTGTTTTTTTTTTGTTTGTTTGTTTTTTGATGCTGAAAAATGAATAACTTGAACTGCTTTATTATGTATGTGTTTTTAGTGTGTATTTATATTTAGTATGAGTAGCTGAGTTGGATATACACATGCGCCCAGCACACATGCTCTACCTTGACCTTGAGCTGCTCTGCCTCCTCCTTGTGCGATGCTTCAGTCTCCTCCAGAGTCCTCCGCTGAGCCGTCTGCTTCTTCAGAAACTCAATTTCCCTGCATGCAACAGGGCACACAGTGAGTCTCACATAGAACAACACAACACTACTCAACACTCAGACAGCCTGCTGGACTCTTAGGGAGAAAAATGGAGAGAAAAGCCTTTCTGAAACTTAGAACCTGCACTCCTAAAAAAGATGGTGCTTCAAAGGTTCTTTAGTACAGAAAATGGTTCTATATAGAACCATTAACACTCAAAGAACCCTTTGCATGATTAAAAGGTTCTTTTCATCATGAAAGCGTTCTTCAGATTGATGGTGAGTGTGCTGTATATGGTTCTATGTAGCACCTTTTCAAAAATGGTTCTATACAGCACCCAAAAGGGTTCCACTATTGTTACAAGCCAAAGAACCCTTTTTTGGTACTACCCTTTTTGCTAAGAGTGTACAGTGATAAAAGAGATGGTCCTTCAAGGGTTTTTTAGTCAAGAAAATGGTTCTACATAGAACCATGAACGCTCAAAGAACCCTTTGCATGATTTAAGGGTTCTTTGCAATGTGAAAGAGTTCTTTAGATTCATGAAGAATGTGCTGTAGATGGCTCTACATGGAACCTTTTTGAAAAAGGTTCTATGTAGTACCAAAATGGGTTCCACTTTTGTTACAAGCCAAAAAAAAACATTTTTGGTACTACATAGAACCCCTTTTGCTAAAAGTGTACTCATACAAAAGATTTTTTAAGGTTTTTTAGTTAAGAAAATGGTTCTATATAGAAACATGAACACCATGCTTAAAAGGTTCTTTGCATGGTGAAACGGCTCTTCAGATTGCTGGAGAATGTGTTGTATATGATTCTATATAGAACCTTTTTAAAAATGGTTCTATATAGCACCCAAAAAGCGTTCTTCTATAATTACAAGGTCAAGCTTGAAACTATCAAAGAACCCTTTTGGGTGCTGTTTAGAACCCTTTTCAAAATGGTTGTATATAAAACCATCTACAGCACATTCATGCACATTTTCCATCAATCTGAAGAACCCTTTCATGATGCAAAGAACACTTTAATCATGCAAATGGTTCTTTGAGTGTTTATGGTTCATGTTGGTTCCATATGGAAAACTTTTCTTTACTAAAGAGCCGTTGAAGCACCATCTTTTTTAAGAGTGTACTTAGATTAGTCACTTATCACTTGGGAAAATGAGTCATTGCTTCAAAATGCTTGAAACACTGCACACTGGCGACATCTACTGGTCAAACGCTTGCAAATGCACTGTGAAAATACTTAAACTCGATGATTTAGTCATTTGCGAAGGTTTCGGTGCCTCTGGTCAAATAACATGTTTAACTGATTTTCTAAGTGACACCTCCTCTACAGAGAACAATCCTCTGCACATTTTAAAGGTGCCATAGAAAACTCTATTTACATTGGCACAGCTGAATATAGAGAGTTTGGTAAAAGGAACTGACACACCACGGACCTCAAACACTTTAGTCTCCTCCTTCAAAAGTAAATCCTGCATATGCGAAAGAGGGCCGTAAAATGGGCCGATTCCAAAATCCTAAACTGTTATGTAATGGTCCTGACTCATTAATATTTACGCCCCCCAAATTTACATACACCAGCCCACATTCTAGCTCAGCAGGGAAAACGGCAGACACAACAAAAATGGCAGACTATGTAGGGAAAGGTACCATTCCAGGCTGTGAAGGGGATATTGGCACTTTTGTTTCCTTCCTAAAGAACTGAACTGTCAGCAGGCTGATGTTCATCTGTAAACGAAGCTGAAGTTGGCTTCCTATTCACCGGCTTCTTAGTCGAAAGTTTCGTTCCACCTTGAATGCTACAGCTAGTACAGGCGTCGGAATGAACGTGTGGCACCATTTGAGGTGGAACGGAAAAATCGCAAAATAAGCTGATAAACAGGCCAAATTCATTTTCCACATGTTTAACAGGATCATGAAAATCTTTAATTCAAAGTTGTTAGTTTGCTCTGCACATTTCAGTCTGGACACTTTCTCGGACCTTGGACAAAATCGACAGGCTTCACTCAGAGCTTCACACCGAAGAGACTGAAAAAAGGGGCAGTTTTATCTTAGCATCACAACCCCAACCGCAACCTGTAAGCAGCCATGCTGTGCGATTTTAATCACTTTCTGATGGTTGAAGCCCAAACAGCACACTCTCCATCACACCTTCAATTAAAAGAGCTAACAACTTTATTTACTTTGTGTTGAGATTGAAAGCAAGCAGCTAGTACAAGTAGTGTTAGCTACTAGCAGGCACCAAGTAGCTAGCATGGTGCGTTTATATGCAATCAATAATCCGATCAGATTTCTGCAGTTATCTGATTATTCAAATGATCATGTAAACAGCATACTCTGATTTCATAGACCGGAATAAGGGCTTAGCTCAGTAATGAGATTCTTAATGCATGTAAACTCTTACTCTGATTTCTTTCACATTTCTCAGTCTGTGGATGTGCAAAACAGACGGTGGTACCGGAAATAAGCGACCAGGCCATTGGTTGTAAACCAACCAATCAGAGCAGAGCTCATCAGATTATTCATGAGCCCTCCAAAAAAAGGGAAAACAGCTTGTATCATTCTAGTGCCAAATCACAGAGATGTAAACGAGCGCATCTGGATATTTTTTGCCTCGAGCAAAGTCGCATACCTTCTATGTGGTCAGAGAACAATTTAAAATACCAAATAGATGCATTCTATGATACCTTTATTTCACAATTACTGTTCATTTCTTGAATTATCATATTGCAGAAGAAAAATAAAACATAAAATGTCGCCTGTGCCAAAGTTATGTCACATTTTAGGTTTTATGTTTTTTTTCCCAATATGTTTAAACTCAGCAATGTGACTGTATGTGCGGATTATCTCACTTCTGCTGGTACTCTTTGATGAGGCGCTTGGCTTTGCTGTATTTGCGCTCCAGGGCCTGATACTGCGCCTGCGTCTCCTTCAGGTGCTCGTCCACCGCCTGGCAAAGACTCTGCGCCTCCATCCAGTAACCTTCCAGCTTGTCCATGCGCTCCCTGTTCTCCTGCACGCTCTGCTCCAACTGAGCCTTCTCAGCGCGCCAGCGCTGCCGATCCTGCTCCGCGTGACTCAGCTACGCCAACACAGACACAAAGCCTCGTAATAAAACGTCAACTTTACAGCAGAAGGAGAAAACTTTACTAAAGTGTGTTAATGTAACATGAAGGCCCATTTCTTTTGGTTCATTTATTATGATATTCACACAATGTGAAGGCCAGCTATTGCTTTTATATGGTCCTTAGTGCAAATTTGGGGTGGGCAGGGTGGGACATGTCCACCCACTTTTTGAGATTTCGCAAGAATTTTTGTTAGTTAGCAGAACTGTGGACAAAAAAATTCAATTATTCAATTATTGATAAAACTTTCCATTAAAGGTGATCCAATTTTTAAAAATTTCTGTATATTTCAATCGACAAGATGCTAATATAAACATTCAGAGTGGTTTGGTGTGAAATGGCTGATTGTAGAGATTCAGATTTCTTTACAGTGGTGCTGAATGGAACCAGGGGTCAACATGACTACAACACAAATATAGCCACTTTATTTACTATCCAAAACCACCAGTATACCAACACATGTCTTCTGAGTGTTTACATGGAATATCGATGATGGTAAAATAGTGTAAAATCTGAAAAAATAAGGACTATTTTGCCTCACAATACCCTGCATGTACCCCTCCACCAAGAACAGATTTGAAAAATGCTTGTTTTAGGCCAAAATATTATTTCAAAATTCTGTATTTCAAAAACACAGTCATGTTTTTTTTTTTTTATTTCACAGAAATCATTGTGCCTTCTTTGAAGACTTAGAAGGTCCTAGTGTGTGGTGAGTGTGTGAGAGCAGGACCGTCCTACCTTCTTCTTAAGCTGCTGGATCTCAGCCTGAGTCACGGCGTGCTTGATCTGCAGCTGCAGCACAAACAGTACGAGTCACATGGCAGAACTCACACCTCTTCACTAGTTCTCAGTATGTTGGAAAAATTAGAAAAGGACTATAAGGCTGGTTTTATGCAACAAAACTTTCCTGCAACATTAGTTGCTTGAAACCTACATGAAACGTGCCACTTGGAAAAAATATATGGACATATATTTTTGTGTATTTGAAATACATATTAAATACAATGCAATCCAGGCTGAAACACATTCCAAACACTAAAATATATTTCAGAATATACTGCCACATTAACCAAATACATTTATTTAAAAAGTATGAAGAAATATTACACATAGACATGTTCCATATAAATAAATCTATCTAAATATATTCATCAAATACATTTATTTATCAAATACATCATAGCAAATGAACATTTAACTTGGCAAAAGCAAGTGTTGCAGGTGTTGATACTTCATACCACGGTGCAAACACAGAAGTCAGTACCATTTAGTTCTATCTGTAACCTTTGTTAAAACTATATAATATATAATAACAAATACAAATAAATGCATTTTAAACATATATTTAACAAATACAATTTTGGCCATTTTCATACATTGCAGAAATATTTGATAACTATATCTGGAATATATCTTTTCTTATGTGTTAAAGCCTCTTGCAACTCGCTTGAAACTCAGCCGTGACAGTCGCAAGTGTCACGCATTCCTCCAGCTCAGACTCTCTTATGAACTCCATTTCCCAGAACTCTCAGGCAGATCATGTCTACCATCATCCACCAATCAGCGCTCATCCTCACCTGAATATTGATCTGTTTCACCTGTTCTCTGTATCATGTGATCATACCTAGTTAGGATTTAAGCCTGGGCTTTAGACTTGATGAGTGTGAGTCTTCAGAGCTACTGAGTGGTTAGTCTGGTTGACTTTGCCTTTTGTCTAGTCCAGGGGTCGGCAACCCAAATGTCAACGAGCCATTTTGTCTTTTCAATAAAAATCAAACCACCTTGGGAGCCACAACATTTTACGTCCATTTTACTGTCTTGGCTGTAAATAAGTCTCAATATGTGCTACTAGCTTAAGCTAAAAATGTAATATACACAAAAACACAGACTTAAGCTTTAGCTCAGTCATAACCACTTTTCTCACATCTCCGGCAGGAAACTTTTCCTCAAAAATGGAATAATTTCTTGTAAAATGTCTCTCAGCATTCGGCTTTTTACGAGGAGGAAGTCAGCTTCTCCCAACTTAACTGGTGCCTGAGGTGCCAGAATGTAACTGCTGCACCATTTTTAAGGTGGAATGGGAACAAGAAGCTGGCAAATGAGAATCTGATTTCAGCCTCGTGACTTTTTAGTGTTTGACAGTTTCTCGCGGCGGATTAAACATTTCAGGAAACCAGCTGAGTGATTATAAACGCAAATCAGTCCATTTGTGTCCAAATTATTGATGTTCATCTTAAATCTTTCTGTTTGCCTTTTCGTTAGCTACCAGCTGCCAAGACTGTTGTCTGCATTGCTATGCTGAGCAGCAGTTGGCGCGCTGATCTTCAGGGTTAAAGGGTGAATTAGCAGTTATAGGCTACATTAACTCCAGAGTTTTATTTTACTGCAAAGGAGGATTATTTTTTGATAATGTTAAAAAATATAAATGATGATGATGAAAATGTTGCAAATACATAAATTCAAGCAGTACAGATATCGAAAAACACAAGATGTTAATTTGGGTACTTAGTGGAGTAACTGAATGTGTTAAGTGCAACTTTGTTACACGAAGCAACTCAAGAACAGTCAAGTTGCACACAAATTATGTTGCAGACAACTCACAACACAATTAGTTGCAGGAAAGTTTCATCATATAAAGCCAGCCTGAAATCTTCCTGTTCGAGTCTGAGGTTTGAAAAAAGGGAACGGTCAGCGGCTTCAGCTGACCGAGCACTTAAAGCAGCCGTGAGTGAAGGGCGCTCTACCTCTTTGTATTTGTGGGCGAGTTTCTCAGGGTCCATGTCCACGGGAGAGAGCGCGTCCTCGTTCTCGGCCAGATCAAACACCTCGATGGCGCTGGGGTACATAGAGCCCGTGTCTTCATCTTCCTCCTCATCCTCATCGCTGCCGTAGCCTGCAGGCTGAGAAGGAGAGACGGATGGAGGCAAAGCTGAAGGACATGTGAGCAGCACATAGTCTCTCACTTTCACAATATCAAGAGAAAAAAATCTCACTGTTTTGAAATTAGTTCAGTGGTTGGCAACCCAAACATTAAGAAGAGCCATTTTGTCCTTTCAAGAAAAATCAAACCACCTTGAAAGCATTTTATGTCCATTTTACCACCTTGGCTGTAAATATGTCTCAGTATGTGCTGATGTACTAGTATAGGATGAAAATATAATATAAATGCAAACACAGACTTACTTTGCTCTGCTTTAAGCTTTAGCTCAGCTACAGCTGCTTTTCTCGCATCTCCAGCAGGAAACTTTTCCGCAAAAGTGCAAAACAGTTTCTTATAAAACGTCTCTCAGTGTTTGATTTTTTACAAGGCTGAAGTCGCTTCTAATTCGAATTTTCCCATTCCACCTTAAATGGTGCCTGAGGCGTCAGAATGTAACTGCTCCACCATTTAAGGTGGAACGGGAAATTTCGAACAAGAAGCTGGCGAATGAGAAGCGACTTCAGCTTCACGACTTTTTAGTGTTTGTCAGTTTCTCATTGCAGATTAAACAGATCCGGAAACCAGCTGGAGTAATTATAAACACAAATAAGTCCTTTCGTCTCCAAATTATCAATGTTTGTCTTAAATCTTTTTCTTTGCCTTTTCGTTAGCTACTCGCTAGGCAAGATTGTTGTCTGCATTGCTATGGGGACCAGCTGTCTGCGCGCCAATCTTCAGGGTTAAAGGTTGGTGAATTAGCAGATATACTCCAGTGTTTAAGGCCATTTATTGTTAAAACTGTGTTGAACGATCAGCAGAGCTTTATTTTACTGTAAAGAAGGATTATTTTATTTTTACCTACAAATCTTATTCTGCTGTGGAGCCGCAACAGGACAGTAAAAGAGGACTTTTAACTAACTTGGATTTTAGATTAAAATCCTTTTGCTTTGAATGACCCTAAACCTTAATTATGTTTATTTATTACAATACATGATTTAACATTCCATTTTGTCACTACCAAAACAATCATAACACTACCCAAACTTTACTAAATGTTTCAGTAGTGACTGTTTCAGTAGTGACAAATTTAGCTCATTTTGAGCAGAACTCAAAACATTAGCTAGTACATGACTAGCAAACACAGCTTTGAACAATTATACACAAACAATCATATATTTTTTTTTTCTTTTAACACAAAAAATGTTACTCAATTGCAGAAAATATGTGTTTCGCTAGTGACAGTTCCACACTGATATTTAGACTTTGGGACACATCTAACTGTACTAACTGTATCAGTCAGTAAAGCACTATTTAACCAAACCTATTGGGTCTGTTTAATATCGGACAGCTGATGTTATCTGATATATCTGAGTTTAGCTGCCTAGAAAATCAGTAACGGTCACAAAATGATATCGGTCAGGCCTTAGCGTGCACCCCAATACCTCATCTTCGTCTCCCGTGTAGTTGCTGTAGCGCTGCTCCATCATCTCCCGCTGCCAGCGCTCCTGTTCGAGTGTCTGCTGGATCAGCTGCGCCACCTCGCTCTGCTCCCCTGGCTTCTCCCGGCCGATCGTAAACCTGGACACAGGTTGTCCGTTAACACTCATCCACCACAGCAGATGAGATTATATTCTCGAATTCATTCCATTCATGATGGTGTGTAATGCTTGGGTAGCATTTGCAGAGAAACAGTATCATGATGCTGCCTCCTTCATGCTTCACAGTGGTTGTGGTGTTCTTGGGATCATATTTGTAACCTTTCTACCTCCAAACATACCTTCCTTTTGGTCATATTTCAAAGTACAAAGTTAAAAGACTTTGTGTGTAAATTTGAAGTGGATTTATGTACTGGAAGTTATTCAATAACAAAAACAAAAGTGTCTGAATGCTTGTTTTTCCTCACTTTTATACTCACTGTATACTCAGCATTACACCATCAATCCACACATAAGCCTCCCTTGTTTTTATAACTCTTTTTTTTCTTTAAGAATGATTCACTGAAAAATTATTAGCTTCAACACGAAACTAAGGAATGTGTGTTCAGAAATATTCAGATACATGTAGAGCTCACCGAACTGTACCAGAGGTGTTCCTCAACACAGAGGCAGCAAAACTCTGAGTCACCCCAACCAGACTGATCCCATCAACCTCCACTATCAGATCATTCACGTTGATCCTGAGAGAGAGAGAGAGAGAGAGAGAGAGAGAGAGAGAGAGAGAGAGACACAGACAGACAGACAGACAGAGACAGGACAGAGAGAAAGAGAGAGAGAGAGGGGGGAAAGAAAGACAAAGAGACAGAGTGGAGAAAGAAGCGAGAAAAAAAGGAGGGGGAGGGAGAGAGAAATTAAAAAGAGAGAAAAAGACAGAGAGAATAGAGAGAAGGTGAAAGAGAGGAGAAAGGAGAGAGAGAGCGGAGGAGAGAGGAAAAAGAGAAAGAAAGATAGAGAGGAGAAAGAGGAGAGAGAGAAGAAAGGAGAGAAAATGAGAAAGGACAAAGAAAGAGAAAGAGAGGGACAGAGAGGAGAAACAGGAGAGAGAGAGAGAGAGAAAGAGGAAAGGGAGAGATAGAGATAAAGAAAGAAGAAAGAGGGGAAAAGGGGAGAGAGAGGAGAGAGATTAAAAAGAGAAACAAAGAGAAGGAGAGAAAGAGAGGACAATGAGAAAGAGAGAGAGAGAGAGACAGAAGAGAAGAGGTGGAAGAGAGATGGGAGATTAAAAAAAGAGAAAGAGAAACAGAGAGGGAGAGAACGAGAGAAAGAGAGAGAGAGTTACTCCAGAGAAATTATAAAGGAGGAGGAGACAGTTCACTGGTTGAAAAATGAGAAATCTTGGTGTCTGTTTATGGGGAAAGTCCCGCCCTTTAATAAAATGAGCCAATCGGCTTGCTGGTGAAGCCGCACCTGGGGAAAGATCCCCCTCCCCTGGGAGATACATGTGCAGTAGCCAGAACATGTTGGAAAACACGTGTTTTGTGGGTTATTTATGAGAAACGCTACAAACTGTTTAAGCTGTTTTTACCAGATTTGATCTGTTCTCCCAAATTTGTTTCTGACAGTGTAACTGTGGCTTTCAGGTTTACAGGCCTCTCTCCATTCACAGAGACAGAAGTCTGGTCTAGTGTGAGTGGAACTAACTGCCCTGGGCGTTGCTGAGGTTACTGCAGAGTGGGCAGACCTTCCCTCATGGACTCTGGTTAAGGCTATACAGCCTATTAGTGCATAATATCACACAGTGACATTAAACCACATGCTGGTGCGTGTCTGTGTACCTGCCGTCTCGGTGTGCAGCTCCTCCTTCAGTGACCGTCTTGACAAATATTCCTAGTTTCTCCAGACCCATATCAGCTCCAGCGCCCATCCCGATGATGCTGATACCCAGACCCTCTCTGTCTGCACACACACACACACACACACAGCGGTCTCCTCAAAATGAGTCACAATAAGGTAACATACCCCTCTACATACAGGGTCCTTGAGAACCTCGAGGCTGTAGCTTTAGCACTATCTACAAAACATCTGCTCAATTAGTCACAGCCTCACAGGGGAATTCCACCAACATTTCAAAGTTCAGAATAATTGAAAGATTCAGATTTTCAAAGGTTACCATTAAAACTCAAAGGTTCTACAGCAGAGAAAGTAAAGGAGTATGTGACCAATGGACCAATAGCTAAGACGTAAACAGAGTCAGTCAGAGGGGTTTGGCGTGAAAAGCTCTGTTCTGGAGAAACTTACTGAGTCAGAATTGTTCACAGTGGTGCTGATAGGAACCAGACGTCCAAAATATTCTATATCTCCAAAATCCCATGCTGATTTTGCGGATTGGGAATAAGCCTAGTCATTCATGGATTAAAATGCAATGTCAATGGTGTTTGACCATTTTACACCCTACTTGTCCAGGTTTAGGCTTAATATGCATCTGGTAAGCCAGCCTATAATATTATAACATGAAATGGCTATAAATACATTGTTATATACATTGTTTTATGATTGTTTCGCACCAAAATTTCGGCCTAAAATGTATTTATTTTTTTTAACTGTGGCCAGATGGAGAGGCACAATAAAGAAAAAATAGTCCCCCGAAAAAAATTTGGTTCAGTTTTAGTACCGTTCTACCATCATTACATTCCATATAAAAACTCTGTGTTATAGTCATGGTGACCCCTGGTTCCATTCATCACCACTGTAAGAAAGAGTCTCTACAATCAACAATTTCATACCAAACCACTCTGTGGTTCAATCTGTGATTGAATTCTGCAGAAATTTTGATAAATGTGTAAAATTCTTTCTTATAAAAGTTTTATTATGGATACAATCCCATTTAACCCCTCGCCCCCACCACTTAGCCCTTACCCCTCCGTTTTGCACGTTCACGTCTAGGGTTAGGGTGTCCCAATTTTTGTTGAGATAGAGGAGTAGGGCGAAGTGTTAGGGCTACATGGCCCTTCAAACTGAGGTTTTTCAGAGACACTCCAAAGTGTTATAAGAATAAAATAGGTAAGATGTCTGAGCAAGAGACCAAAGAAACCCACGAATGTGAGAATTTTCTCTGTTAAAAAATTATGATAACTATTGTACTATCTTAGTTTAATGCCATTTCAATGTATTATGATCCTTTTCTTCATGTCAAGCATAAAAATCACTAGTAGTGCTGATGTCTTGGTAGCTAGCTCGCTAAATTTCCTGTTCCACCTTAAATGGTGCAGCAGTTACATTCTGGTGCATCAGGCTTTAGAACTGCTGCACCATTTAAGGTGGAACAGGAAAATTCAAACAAGAAGCTGGTGAATATCTGACTTCAGCTGCATATCATGAAGAATTAGGGGTGGGCAATAATAAATAAATATCGCATCCCCCCTCTTTGAAGGTATATGATGCCCTAAATGTAACTGAAGCCAGCAGTGAGCTGAACTTTACCCTCCTCTGCTGTCACTGCAGACTGGCAGGGTCGCCTACAGAGGACCGCTAATAGCTGTTAATGAGGTAATGTTCTTTTTATTTGAGGGTTGTTCCATTTCATAGGGTAACTCAGTTCTAAGGGGTAAGGTGACACTCCAAAACTAGGGGTAGGGGTAAAAATAATGGGATTGGGCCTATAAATACCATCCATATGTTTAACAGCAGAATGTAGAAAGTTCAAGGAGTGATAATTACAGGCAGGGTCCTTCCACTGACCCGTCCTTTCAGCCAGCCATCCATGATTCTTTCACCCCAACCACTCATGACCAACCTCCTCCAGTCAGTTACCTATGTCCATTCAAAGTCCATGCATCCATCCAGCTTTAATTCCCTGTCTGCCTATTGATGCACTCTTCCACAAAGCTATCCATCCATCCATCCATCCATCCATCATTCCATACCTTTGTCCAGTTCTACGGGAAACAGGTCGAGCTTCTCCACTCGCTTCTCCAGCTCGTACTCGGCCGAGGCAGCCATGGGGTCCACATCATCGTTCCTCCTGTCGTAGTCCTCGTTGGAGTAGGTCATAAACACCTGAGAAGAACACAGATTATTACTGAACCATCCAGCACGGCCTGAGGAACCGGAGCTCCATCCATCTAACCACAGTACAGTTAACAGAAGGGGAACTGAAAGGGGAATTCCACCCGTTTTTCAAAATTTCTGCATAATTCAGTGGTTTGGAGTGAAATGGTTCATAGTAGAGAAACTTACTGACTTTCTTTATAGTGGTGGTGATAGGAACCAAAAAAAGTGCAAAAGTTTGGGCACACCCACCCCCAAACATTCCGTGTTTTGTTGATTTTCTAAGTGCAAATAAGTTAACACATCCTCTGCAGAGAACACACTTCTGCACATTTTGAACGTCTGTGTATTTGATGAACATATTGGAGAAAAAATACTAAACATAAAATGTGGCCTGTGCAAAAGTTATGGCACCTTTGCTGTTTCATATTTTATTTTTTTGTCCCGTTTGTAAAAATCTGCAAATAAATAGAAATTGTGCAGTAAAATGAACAGAAAATGACATTTTAAAGGTTGTTGCCTGTAAAAGATGTCTTATGTTCATACATTTGTACTATCCAAAATCACCAGAGAACCAACACTTGTCTTAAAAATATGTTTTAGGCTAAAACCTTCTCAAAAAGATTGTAAATAAGGACGCATGTTTATAACCATTTAATATAACAACTTTCTGAAATGGGGGCTTCCAGACGCATTAAACTCTTCTGGACGTCTGGTTCCTATCACCACCACTGTGAACAATTATGACTCTGTAAGTTTCTCTAGAACGGAGCGTTTCACACCAAACCACTCTAAATGTCTTTGTTGACAACCATTTATTAATGAAATTTGGAAATTAGGAAAACTGGGTGGAACGCCCCTTCAAGAGTAGAATACTGCTTTTGTTGTATTTATATGTTATCTAAATTATTGTGTTCAGCTTGTCATTTAAGTCTCATTATACCAGATCACACAGACATTACATATGTGGGATCATATCTTGATTAACTTTTTTGGGAAACTTTTTTTGGGAAATATCAACAAAATCTGACAATGTAACGAAATCCATGATGCTGAATCTGGCAGAAGAGAGAGCCTAGTGCTCCGTACAGCTATTTTCAGACGCTCATCTGAAGGTAGATTTGCTCTCTGCAGGTACTGACAGCACCTCTCAACGTCCAGCATACTGGCAGCGAGCCCAAAATCTCCCACTCATTCACTACCATACATATCCAGTCCCTCCAAAACCAGTGCTTTCCTCACTGACTCCACTGTTAAAGAAGCATTCCAGCCTAAGAGTTACGTTATTTGTCATGTTATGCAACGTTCTGTAGCGCAGCATCGCGGCCCTCAGCCTCATCAGTATAACAGAGTCAATGTTCTCTTACAGCAATACCCAGCAAGCACATCATACCATTAGGAATCCATGTGGTGTCCACCAATCCTGACTGCTAACTAACCTGATAAATACATGATAAATACCAGGCTAGCAGTAATCAAGCACGAGTCTCTTCCCGTGCTAACCAATCAGCACTCAGTACTGCTAACCAATCAGCACTCAGTAACAGTAATGTTAACCAACCAGCAATCAGTAACAGTAATGCTAACCAATCAGCAATCAGTAGTGGTAACGCTAACCAATCAGCATTTAGTAGCAGTAATGCTAACCAACTGGCACTCAGTAGCAGTAATGCCAACCAATCAGCATTCAGTAATGCTAACCAATCAGCACTCAGTAACGCTAACCAATCAGCACTCAGTAGCAATAACGCTAACCAATCAGCACTCAGTAGCAGCAATGCCAACCAACTGGCACTCAGCAGCAGTAATGTTAACCAAGCAGCACTGAATAGCGTTAATGCCAACCAATCAGCACTCAGTAATGCCAACCAATCAGCAATCAGTAATGGTAACGCTAACCAATCAGCACTGAGTAGCATTAATGCCAACCAATCAACATACAGTAACGCTAACCAATCAGCACTCAGTAGCAATAATGCTAACCAATCAGCACTCAGTAGCAGCAATGCTAACCAAGCAGCACTCTGTAGCAATAAAGCTAACCAATCAGCAATCAGTAGCAATAATGTTAACCAATCAGCATCAGTAGTGGTAAGGCTAAACTGTTAGCACACAGTAGCAGTAATGCCAAACAACTGGCACTTAGCAGCAGTAATGCTAACCTCAGTAATGCTCAATAGCATCCTGCTACCCGAAACCTGTTTACTGTAGAAAAATTGAAAGATGCTAAGTTTTCTTTGATGTTTTAATATCATACATCCTTTGACTTATTAATTAAAGGAAGGTCCCTCACAAATGGCTAAAAACATGTTTAATTGTTCTTTTTAGCCATTTAGCTCCACAGAGACAGATTTAGCACATTTAGGAGACAGATGTCCATTAACTCAGCACTAATACTTCCTGAGGAAAGCTAGCAGAATCTAGCACTGTTGTGGAGGCGTGTTTTATGGCCCAAACTGAAGGCCCAGCTCTAACAGTCATGGCTCAGTACTGGAACTAACGAGGTAAAAAAGTACATTTTGTATTTCAGGGTGTCTTTAATTAAGTATCTAATCTTGGATTAAAAGAGAGAGCAGTTAACCGCCATGGTGAAATGAGTTACATGCGGCTGCATTTGAAGCTGAAACCGCAATACCAGTCAGCCTACAGTATATCGTACAGCCTCTCTGGGCACCGTCCTCCAGTCTGAGTGAACATCTACCACAACCACGGTCCAGAAATACCAACCATTCCCAGAAGTACCAAAGACGGTGTTGATGCACCCTGGGCGTGTTTATATTCTCGTGTTAAAATTAAAGGCTGTTATGTTTTACTTCCTCCTTCTGTGGTCTTGTTTGGGTCTGTGGGTGGGTTACTATTTTGACCCTAGACTGGGTCAAAGCACCTGCCACCAGAACACTCTTGCAATCACAAATGTAGTCATGAAACATCTCCAGCAGTGCCATGCAGTCAATTAGCTTCACTTGACAATGCTAAGCTACTGATCGTGATCGTGCAGGTACTGTGCTAACAGAGGCTGATTTGGATATTCAGACACTTGACAGCTATTTACAGCAGTATATTACGGCATTTAGGGCTGGCAAAGGAGGAGGTTTGAACAAGAATCTGCGGGGAATAAAGCTTTTTGAGAAACTGGCATCGTTTGTCCAAGATGCCATCTGTCCAGCGGGGATTGCATAAGCGCTAAAGTTGTCTGAGCTTTAGCGTTTCTAAATCCTTTTTACATGCCACAAGCAACACAACAATATGCAAATTCCCAATAAAACAAATGCCAGCCTTCTCAGGAAACCACCACCAGCCATAAATCCACAGATCCTACCCTCGAACCGCCCACAGTCTCCACTCCCACTCACTTCTTGACTCCTTATGGCTAGCCATTAAACAAAAGGTTCACATTATGGACAAGATCTTTAATTTTGGGTTTTCATGAATTGACGTTTGTTAAATCTGTACAGGGAGCACATAAAGATGTAACGTTGGGTGGGACAAAGAGGCAGGATGCAAAAGTTTTCTTGGCAATCCATGACACACAGGTGACAAAACAAAGGCAGAACACTACTGAACAAAACAAAGGAAACCAAGGACAGAGGAACTTGAAGGAAACAGAAAAAAATGAGAAATAACCAACACAGAGCCTGAGAGAACAAAACACCAAGCAAACACAAAGCACATAAGCAGGGGTATAAATACTTGGAACAGACTAGAAACACCTGGGATTAATGCAAGAGTGGGGCTACAGACAACAGACAGGTGAGACAGATAACAAGAAGGCAGGACCAGTAAGGAAAAGACCACAACAACAACAATAAAAAAAGGCTGAAACAGAGAAAGACAAGGACAGGGCCAGATGGGATGTTGCGAAAGAAGACATTCGCACGTTATTTGATGATGTATATGTAGCCTTGTGTGCCTTACGAGCTAACAAACTCATAAACAGGCTACACAGCTAATGCATAGCTAGCAGTAATGTAAACAGGAATTATGTATGTTTCATAAAGCGACATCCTGCGGTCATTTTTTGAGGTTGGCAGTTTGGAAACATCAGAGACTAAAAGGATTTATCGTTTGAAATATATAATATTTTTAAATATATTTTTAGCACGTATGTAACATTTTTGGCCATGTACTTACTGAATACACCTTACATGTATTTCTTTTCCATATGAGTGGAAAGAGTATAGCGCCATCAAGAGTGCTGGAGTAGCTGAGTCTTGCACCGTATAGTCAAGTTGTCATTCTGTATTCAGCATCATGTCCATATTATTACAACACTGAACAGCATTTTCAAAAATCGTCTGTTGTGCCTCTCGGCAAACACAAGTGTTCCAAAGCTGATACGTTTTGCTGTACGTCCAATTTTTCCTCAGAGCATCACTGGATCCTCTGAATTGTGAGGTTGCCAATGAGCCGAAATACAAATTATTGCTACATTTGAGCTAACGCTCCAGTAGCAGTAAAGCTAACCAATCAGCACTCCGCAATGTTAACCAATCAGCACTCAGCAGCAGTAATGCTAACTAATCAGGACTCAGCAGCAGTAATGCTAACCAGTCAGCACTCAGTAACAGTAATGCTAATCAATCAGCACTCAGTAGCAGTAATGCTAATCAATCAGCACTAAGTAGCAGCAATGCTAACCAATCAGCACTCAGTAGCAGTAATGCTAACCAGTCAGCACTCAGTAGCAGTAATGCTAACCAATCAGCACTCAGTAGCAGTAATGCTAACCAATCAGCACTCAGTAACAGTAATGCTAACCAATCAGCACTCAGTAGCAGCAATGCTAACCAATCAGCACTCAGTAGCAGTAATGCTAATCAATCAGCTAGCTAACGAGGGTGATGATAATATTAGCTAACACTCCTGTGCACTGAACTGGCATGACAAGACTGGCAACCTCACCAAAACACCCCAGTACGCTCTGTGAAATGTGGTAGTTAAGCTGCCTTGGAAGTTTAAGTCTACAGTTTGAGCAGCTGTTGTTACATGTATGATTCTACCAAAGTCAG